CATTATACCCATGCAGTTGGCTCCTTGTCCACCCTTCAAGCACGTCTGCACCTGGTGGTATGTGCGGTACGAATGTTGGGCTGCTGCTTCTTCGGTTGGGGGTAGACGAGCCAGGTTCACCTTCGCGTTTGCAGCTGAACGGACAGATGGCGTGGAGTTTGTCGCCTTCCTTTCCTCCGTAGAGAGCAACCAAGCAGCTCGAGCCAGCTAGGGCAACCTCTTCGTGAGTGGCATCAGGCTTGAGGAATGTGGTGGCTATGTTCATCAGGGCAATATCTTTCTCGAAGGCACTCAGCATTTTGTTCTTTCCTTGCCAGAGAAGGGAAGAGGAAGTGTCGCAACCGGTTAATGCGTGGAGAAACAACTCCAATCGGTTCAACGACTTGGTGGAAAATTGTAAAGGCCCACAGTCACTCCTGCCACTTTTTTGGAAGAACACGTTGTTCACAGAGAAGCCCAAGCCACTGAGGAGAACGAGCAGATCCACATCCTCCTCAATGGACTCACTCTTTTCCAAAGCAGTTCTTACGATGGTGGAGTCTGCATCTTCTGTGGCTCGACGGGTTTCAATCCCCTCAAGTGGAACCCAGAGCAGAAGAAGTCAATCAGGCGACGTTTCTTGTTATCATTCGAAAGCATTTTGTCTTGAGGCACCTTGATTAAAGTAGAGCTTTCGAACATATTGTCGGTACGGGAGGCTGCTGCATATCGACGTACACGTTCCGCTGTTTTCGTGCTGCTTGGAGCCTCGTCGTTCAGGATATTCGTGAAAAATAATGGCCCCGTTCTGCCCAAAATCGTTTTTAATGTAGCTTGTGTAGGTGGTCACAATCGCTCTGATCGAACCGTTCCGGTGCCAGATGACTTCATGGAGCAAGAAGCCTCCATCCACGACAACAAACGAATTGGGTCCTATTATTGGAAGGTTTTCTTCGAGTGGAGTGAAAGCAGAATAGAAGGTCGATTTTGTGCCTTCACGCATCCCTTCGTCACAAAATAGAGACATTGGGTAGGGAGCCAACTCAAATTTAAAGTGTTCCTGCAAGTGGTCATCCGACTGCTTTGTAAAACACAGCCTTTGGAAGATGGTGAGGGGATCAATATCAACCTTCTTGTTGTTCACTTTGATGGTAGCTGTGGCCAAGGTTTTTACCTTGTCTTTTCTCAAACAATCAAATTTTTAACTGTAGTGGTTTTTTGAAGATGACTATGGTGCTATGAGGTCTAAATGATTGGTTGTGAGCTGGAATTAAAGCTATATGAATACACTACAACTTGATTCTTCATAACTTTCATCGTAGGATGAGTATTAGTAAGTACAATTTTCAACTTTTTGAATAAAAATCCAACTTTTGAGGTCCTGTATCTCTGGATTCATCAGACCTGAAGAAATGAAATTAGACTCAAATTGTAGGAAATGTATCCAGCTTCAAAAAAGGTCGATATAAATGTTTCTTCAGGAGGCCGCCTTATAGGACCCAAAATTAGCTAAAAAATTTCGAGGTTTTTTGATCACCACGCTTCCAGCGCAGGTCTTTCGAAGCTGCAAACTTGGTTTTATACTATTGGGACATAGCCTGACAATATGCAAAAAACAATTGGAATGTGCGAATTTATGCGAACTTTGCAATTTTTTTTGTCCATCAGGGTCAGCGGCCCAACTGTCGCATTTTTGGTTCGAAATATTGTAATTATTGCATTGTCAGTATGCAGTCATAGACTGATTTTTTAGATGGAGTAAAGCCTTGGGAAATCACTATTCAGTAGCTAATCGTATACAGGGTATCCCGAAATTAGCCTGCCAAACTTCGCCAGAGGCTTCAACATCCAAAAATAGAAAGAAAACTTCTGATGAACTTGGCTCGACAAATGTCTCCTTAGGGAGCTACGGCCCCCTGGAAGGGGGCTCCTGAATAGGATATTTTTTTAATATTTCCGAAACGCCCACGTGATAAAACAATTAATGCAATTTGGTCCAAGCATGTCCAAGTACTAAACTCTCCAAGCCAAATGCGGTGAACATTCAATCATTTCAAAGTTTCATTCAAGAGTGTATAATGAAGGGTAAACCATGGTTTCTTTCTTGTCTTTTCATATTCCAGAGTTGGAGTGGTTTCTTGATGTTCCAATTTCATGGGTTGTGGAAGTTCTCATTAGACTTTTCACTTCCGTCGCAGTTGGAGGCTCGAGTTTTCACAAAGATTTCTGAGAATAACTTGTCACAAACCGGGTTCTCAAACCTTTTTTGTGTTAATAGGCTGTCAGACAGTTGAATTTGTTCAACTTCTGATTACATCTGAAATAACTTGTGTGAGCTCTCATTAGGCTCAACTGGGGTTCCCTGGTGTATTCACTTGTTGAATGGGCGTGTACACCTAAGTAGAACTTTTAACTCAAACCATGTTTATAATGATCCTTCTATACATAAATAATGATTGACGACATAATTCGATCGAAAAATTAACTGGAATGTTTTATTTTTGGACATAAATAATAGCACCTTCTGAAAACAGACCCCTCTTATGACGTAGAAACCTCATTTCGCCATAGTCAAAAGAAAATACCAAACGCCCGACGGAGACTGAGGCAACTGATATATTAATTCTTTCAACTGTGATCTCGCGCTGATTCACTTTGTCAGAAATTATGTATCATTCATATCTGTCTGGAATAGTCTTGTTTCAGTATTAGGGTTTTGACGTCACATCATCGCCTCGTTTTCAGAGGTACGAAAAATCGGGGATTTCAATAATTTTTTATATAACGTAGGGAGCTCACAGCAAGAAACGGATTGCGGTGGCGAGCTAGTTTGGGTGAGTTCTATTGAATTATGAAATACAATTTTTTTGTGATATAAGCCCATTGATGCATTTTGATAAACCGCAGACTATTGAGTGACATGTTAGTTGGGTTCTCATTAGACCAACAAAACATTCGCTCCTTAGGGACTTGGTTAATTCTTCCCGATTTCATAATGTTTATCTTCACTAATGTTTCATAATGAACATTCTTGATTTTCCTTTGACACATGTCATGTCTTGGATGTCATGTGATGCATGTAAACTTCAAATTCGTCCGTGACTCATCAAGTTCACTTCAACACGACATGTCGCAGCGACAATGGCTGCTTAACAAAATGTAATCCGTACTTAACCCCCTTTTGGGAAACACATTTTAATTTGTTTGTACCGTTTTTTACCATAATGTCGTTAGTTTTAAACTGGACCAAAGATATTTTTATGGACAAATTTCCCTGTTAATCTGACGAGTAAGTAACCTCACTTTTATCAATTCCAAATTCATATTTAACTATTTCAAATTTCGATTTTATTATAATGTCTTTTTCAAAATCAAGAATTCATCAACAAGTAACAAGTCACCAATTTATTTTTTTACCTTTTTTCAATATTAAACAAATTTTCAAAAATAAAAAATAATTCTCAAAATTTTTCCAAAAAATGTTTCGGAATTTTTTTTCGAATTTTCAATTTCAATTTCTTCCCAATAGCTAAATGCAGATTACTTACTTACAGGTATGCACTGATGATGACTTATCAGTCGAAAGCGCTCTGCTACGAATATTGAATAAATTATCTTGCACGAAATACAAATCTTCCCTTCTTTGGTATATATACACGTGCACACAGCCCAACAACCCTCAATACCTAGATTGTCAGGTTCAATATTGACAGCTTACAGTAGTTGTGTGTAGTAGTTGAAAGATATTGTTATATAATGGGCTTGTATCACAAAAATTTTTATTTCATAATTCGATAGAACTCGCCCAAAAACTAGCTCACCACCGCAAACCGTTTCTTGCTGTGAGCTCCCTACGTTTTATAAAAAAATATTGAAATCTCCGATTTTTCGGACCTCTGAAAACGAGGCGATGATGTGACGTCAAAACCCTAATACTGAAACAAGACTATTCCAGACAGAGATGATTGATTCATGATTTCTGACAGAGTGAACTAGAGCGAGATCACAGTTGAGAGAATTAATATATCAGTTGCCTCAGTCTCTGTCGGGCGTTTGGTATTTTCTTTCAACTATGGCGAGATGAGGTTTCTACGTCATAAGAGGGTCCGTTTTCAGAAGGTAGGTACTATTATTGATGTCCAAAAATAAAACATTTCAGTTAATTTTTCGATCGAATTATGTCGTCAATCATTATTTATGTACAAAAGGATCATTATAAACATGGTTTGAGTTAAAAGTTCTACTAAGGTGTACACGCCCATTATTATGATCGTATGCGCCTTCGCCATAAGTTTGATTCAATTATGTATTTTGGTGGAAGCGTGTATCATTTATTCTTATAGGATCGTCAACGGATGATCTGGCGAACCAACTCTGTTTTTTTTTTTCGCTAAAGTATTAAATTTCACTCGTGTTATATTACTTGCTTGATTGTCCAAAGAGTATACCATATTGAGAACGTTATAATAATAGGGTATATCACTGAAATTAGTATATTTGTAAATAAGTACATTTTGAGACCATTGATTATAGCTGAGTCTCCAACGAGGGTTTGTAGAAATATCGACGTAACTGTGTTTGAAAGTGTTCAGCTTGAAATATCGGATAGGCTTATTTCCTCAAATTATGAAGTAAACATCGATGTATTCAGGCTATTATTATTATATGTTCCGCCATTTTGTAATAGGTGAAGTTATTGACTTCATATTCTAGGGTTGTGAAGTATTCGTCAGGAGCATCAAAAGGATGTATCACCAGACCCGTCTTTCTATTTAATTTTTCACCAGATGGCGCGCCCAGTCGCCACTTTGAAATTTCCATCTGTCAATTTCACTCCAAAATAATTTCACTTCAATTTTTCCAGTCGAACTGTTGAAAAAATGAAATGGGGGTAGGGGGCATTGAAGAAAAGCACTGTATAGTCTCACAAAAACAGACCCTGGTTTCCTATATCGTTCAAAATACTCCTTATCTCATTGTGAAAGATGATAACAACTGATGATATATCATTTTTATTTCAGATCATCCGTGTGAACGTCGGATCAGAATGATTCATCGCTATCTTTTCGTAAACACGAATAGAATCCTACGATGACGGTGTCAACTTCATCCGCAGATATTATTTTAGTCAAAATTTTAATTTGTTCGTTTTTCAACCGCCTTCGGTGAAGGAAAACTGATGTGATTGTCGCTGCTCGCCATTTCGCAAGAATGGACGAGTTCGATGGTGCTGGAAGAGTCATAAGAGCCAGATCTTTGAAGAGGGGGAAGGATGAGAAAAGTATTAATAATAGGGTGAGTGATGTTTTCCTTTTATTTTCAAGATTTTCTGATCACTAGGACCGCATGAAAAAAAATTATAGTAGATAGATAGTTTTATTTAACCACTTTACATGAGTTACAAGTTTGTAGCAAGTCAAGGTACAAGAGATTTAATAATGGGCTTATATCACAAAAAAATTTCATTTTATAATTCGATAGAACTCACCCAAACTAGCTCACCACCGCAAACCGTTTCTTGCTGTGAGCTCCCTACGTTTTATAAAAAAATATTGAAATTCACAATTTTTCGGACCTCTGAAAACGAGACGATGATGTGACGTCAAAACCCTAATACTGAAACAAGACTATTCCAGACAGAGATGAATGATACCTGATTTTTGACAGAGTGAATTAGCGCGAGATCACAGTTGAAAGAATTAATATATCAGTTGCCTCAGTCTCCATCGGGTGTTTGGTATTTTCTTTTAACTATGGCGAGATGAGGTTTCTACGTTATAGGGGGGTCCGTTTCCAGGAGGTACTATTATTTATGTCCAAAAATAAAACATTCCAGTTAATTTTTCGATCGAATTATGTCGTCAATCATTATTTATGAATAAAAGGATCATTATAAACATGGTTTGAGTTAAAAGTTCTACTAAGGTGTACACGTCCATTGTAGTATAATATATATAGGTAATACACTACACTGTAAACTGAGTTTTAATCTTCTCCTGAAGATGCTAACATAGTTAGCGAAACACGTGTTGAGGCGTTAAAAAATCGGTTTGGTTAGTGGTAAAACAGTGTAGTGTATTATCGTGCTAAAGGTTCCAGTCTCCGATATATATAGGTAAGTCAAGTTGCAACTCAAAAGCAAAACATTGAAGAACAAAACAGATTAAAAAGACACACATATTGTATACAGTAATAGTAACATATAAGGTTCATGTACGGGGTGAACAACTATAAGAACGGCTGTCATATCTATCATTCTTCCAACTTTGATAGCTAATATCTTCCGTTGGCGGAAAGCTATCATGTTGCGGTTTTCGTTGGTCTGTGGAGATTTAGTTTCTCTATTACATCGTGTAATGATATGCATTCGTTGCTGAGATATGGCCGACCGCCGTTCTTAATTGTTCACCCTGTACATGATTCGAAAATTTAACATATACAGGGTATGTCACGACAAGCTTACACTATCTTCATATCGAGAATCGGTCGAGAGAAATCCATGAAAATGTGCATACTTGTCATTCAAAATACGCTCCCTTCATTTAAAATATTTTCGACAATGCAGTGTTGCCGCTTCTACCTTCTACTAGAAAGTAGTAGCAACATTGTTATTTTAAATGGAACACCCTGTATTTCATCGCATTTTTAGATTCTCCCTGTAGAGCTGATATCATCGATGCATCACACTTGGGGTCTATCAAAAATAAATACAGAGATATAGGGTGTTCAAATTCGAGATATTTCAACTTAAGGATTTTTTTGTGTCGAAACAATTCATTATCGGTCAACACGGCTCACCTGTCCCTATCTCAACTTTTGATTCACTATTTACTGATATTCAATCGGAACAGATACAGGGTGGTTCAAGATTCAGAATTCTGATCACCCTGTATCTGTTCCGATTAAATATCAGTTTATAGTTAATCAAAAGTTGAGATAGGGACATGTGAGCCGTTTTGGCAGATAATGCATAGTTTCGACAGAAACAAATCCTAAAGTTGAAAAACCTCGATTTTGAACACCCAATATCTCTCTAATCATTTTTGATAGACCCCAAGTATGATGGAGAATCCAAAAATGCAATGAAATACAGGGTATTCTATTTGAAATAACAAAGTTGTTGGTATTTTTTTATAGAAGCGGCAACACTGCATTGCTGAAATTATTTTAAATGGAAAGAGCGTATTCTGATATATTAGCGGGCTCATTTCCATGTATTTCTCTCCACTGATTCTCGATATAAGCTCGTCGTGACATACCCTTTATATACAAATGCTTAAAATTTTGGAAAGCGAAACCAGGTGACTACATCGGGATTGAATCAATACAAAGCCCTAAAAAGGGTCTAGTTATAATTATTTATGGTTTATTGATGAGCTCTATTCGAGAATGTGAACAAATTTTAAATATTCAGATTTTCAAGGCCTACTTTTGTTTGTTGGAGGGGTCAAAATTTCAAAAACGACTATTAGGCAATTTTTTATCAAAACTGTGACAAGCCTATTCGATTCAGGCATAGCTGAAATAACCCCATACGAAATTTGAACGCAAAATCTCATATAGGGTGTTAGTTATTCAGTGGCGAATTTTGATATTTTTGAGTTTCCGATTCACCCTGTATCAAAATCTAGAGAGTTGATATAACCGGTGAAGTAGTCATTCAATAGAGAAACACATCGTATACTTAGATACGAGGTTCCATCGTTGTAACTTCTACAGGAAGATCTCTCTTGGTCAACTGAAAATTAATGAAATTGAAGTTGAAATTTTTTTATGATCCATATCTTCTTCTCCTGGAAATATAAATAATGGTAACTAATTCGAGGAAATATTCTCTTTACATAACAATTTCCATTGTCATCTCAAATTTCTCTTTCATTTCGCCAAAATCGGTATATTATTAATTATGATCGCACGTATCAGTAAATCTCCTTGCAGTCTTTGGAAAGTGTTTGCCTGTCATCCTATTTGAGTTATATTCAACAGTTCTTCATCAATCGAGACGATTTCCAAAGTTACTGTGTGGTGAAGTGTGAGTTTTCAAATTGGTGAACCTCAACTTAAATTTTATTAATTTTTGAATCGAAAAATTAAAATTTGCCACTGAATAACAAACACCCTATATGAGATTTTGCGATCAAATTTCGTATGGGGGTTTTTAAGGTATGCCTAAATCGAATGGGCTAGTCACTGTTCCGAAAAAAAATTACCTAATAGTCGTTTTTGAAATTTTGACCCATTCAACAATCAAAAGTAGGCCATGAGAATCTGAGTATTCTAGATTTGTCCACATTTTTGTATATAGCTCGTTGAGTACTACATTATGGAATTTTTGTTTTTGAAAATCCGTCGACGGGTTCAAAATTAGGGGGGTGTTGCGGGTTGAAATCGCACACACTGTATATATATATATCCTTTTTTTATGTTCATAATTATATTTGAGAATATTCCTTTTCAATACTTTCACCTAATCAAGAGATTCAAACTTAAACGATGGAAACCTATTAATTTTATAGACCTCAATCGCAGATTCGTGATTAGGTTTTTTCAATTTTTCAAAAACTAAAAACAATTTTGAAAATTGACGAAGGCCGTTGGTATGCCCCTCTGGATGCGCAATTATTTTCCCATTTAACGGAATTCGTATCTCCTCCTGTTTCTGATGAGATCTCCATGCTGTGCAACCTTATCTCGATCACACTGTATAAAGTAAGAAACATACATGAAAGTCTTTACGACATTGAAACGTTTGCGGTGAAATATTATACTTCCTAGTTCCTAAATGGGTTTATGAGATACACATAATATAGGGCAATAAAGCGAAAACTGTATTGCAGATATTTCCTGAATGAAATGTTCGTCATAAATTTGAAGGACGTGACTCCAATTGAAAATGGCAAAAGAGGCCTTAGTATGGTGTTCTGAGAATATATATAGGGGGTAGGTCATTGCTAGTGTGTGTAAAATCAATAGACTTCTGTTTGGACTCATACACACACAAATATTATTCCTCTAACCAAAAAACTATGATGCACTCCATGAATAATTTAAAAGTTTATGCAACAAGTGCAAAAAGTGAATGTTTATTGCACTCGACGTGAAATTGTCCGACGAGGCCGTTAGGCCGAGTTGAACAACACGTCGAGTGCAATAAACAATTTTTGCACGAGTTGCATACAACGTTCATGCCAAAAAATGATTTATTGAGGTGCGGCACTAGGTGTAGGAAAATGAATACGTTACGAACAATTTAACTCAAACTTTATTTTTACCCTCAATGTTGAAAGTGAATGAACAATTGGTACAATTTTCAATATGAATATATGACGTTTCTATAACCACAGTTGCAATATAAAAAATGTTTGTCATTATGACAGCACGTTGAAGTAGAATGACAGATGAGTGCAATAAAAACTTTATTGCACTAAGTGCAATAAAGAACTTCTTTTTCCACTAAATATAGGTCAATAAAGTTCTGCTTTTTGCATGAATGTAGAAAAAGAAAATTATTTTCAGAATGACAAATGTTTTTTTATGAGAATATTAGGGTATCTTTATTTGAATAAAACAATTCCTTTGAGCCAAGTAAAAAATGAATGGATTACACAAAATTTGTTACTAGAAAATATGGAGAATATTGAATTGTTCGTTCAATAATGCAATTATTACTGACTAAAAAAGGAATTCACTTGGTGTAACAACTGAAAAATTAATCGGTGAGATGCGGAAAAGTAAATTTGTCGAGTTTTTGGAGAGTATACTGACATTCGAATATTCATTAATGATAATAATAATAAATGTTTCTTCATGTCAACTTTTGTTTTTTTTAGCACGCTAGGTAGTAGAAATTCGTTATTCACCTTCACAAGTACGAAAAGTAGTACTTTCTCGTGAGAGTTAGGTACAATATTTTTCCTACGAGTGTTTTTGTCCATTTTATTCATGAAAAATAGAAGGTTTTTGAAAAAAGATTTTATCTGACACATAAGACAGAATAGTTAGTCCTATAAATATCCTCATTTTCAACAATATAAAAATCTTGCTGAAAAGTAACTTTTCAGCTCTAGTGCGATATAGTAACCTTTCAGCACGATTTTATCGATTTATCGTGCAGAAAAGTAATAATCGTGAGGAAAAGTGAAATCGTACGAAAAAGTACAACTTTCAAATCGAAAAATTTTGCGGTCATCACCGTGATATAGACCAATAAGACACCACCAGTTCTTGAAGAAATCTGTTCATATTAGAAACCGCGAATACATTTTTATTATTGACATCATTCTATGAAAATACAT